AAGGCTATTGGCTGCGGAAATCTTTTTGAAAAATCTTTATCCACACACTGAGTTGGGTATCGCACATTAGAAATCTACAATTTATGACGGAAGAAAAAAAAATTAATCTCAGAACTTGATAAATAAGTAATACATCCCGTGTTTAAAAAAAATCTACAACTTGCGTTTCTTTAGATTATATGGTGACCGGCTATGTTATCTAAATTGGAAGCGACCTATTATCTACATAAATTAAACGTAACTAGTTTAATATTAGTGTGGAAATGTGAAACATGTCTAGACAACTAATAGTGTGGAAATGTGAAACATGTCTAGACAACTAACAATGTGGAAATGTGAAACATGTCTAGACAACTAATAGTGTGGAAATGTGAAACATGTCTAGACAACTAATAGTGTGGAAATGTGAAACATGTCTAGACAACTAATAGTGTGGAAATGTGAAACATTTCTAGACAACTAATAGTGTGGAAATGTGAAACATGTCTAGACAACTAATAGTGTGGAAATGTGAAACCCGTCTAGACAACTAATAGTGTGGAAATGTGAAACATTTCTAGACAACTAATAGTGTGGAAATGTGAAACATGTCAGACAACTAATAGTGCGGAAATGTGAAACCTGTCTAGACAACTAATAGTGTGGAAATGTGAAACCTGTCTAGACAACAAATAGTGTGGAAATGTGAAACATGTCTAGACAACTAACAGCACCAACAGATACGAGTAAAATAGATGGGGATATACTGACCATCACATCTGCAGAAAGCGGATCATGGTGCCGTTAAACAAGTACTGCAATGGGAAACAAATGAGTTGAGACAATCATGACGTCCAAGATAAACCATAAGACCTATGTGGATGAGCGATGTTCATAGACTTCAACAGATTCTAGTGCGACTTCGAAGAAAACAACTTTAAAAAGTCGCCTTCCACGACATGCTTCTAAGAGAAGCCGTTGGTTGCTTCATTGTCCTCACAGTAGGATCGCGGCATCCACAACAAGAAGTTGGTCACACGCCATGTTGCGTTGAATTTGACAATGGTATTACCAGTTCAGAAACTTAAAGTCTAGAGGACATTAATTATTATTTCAGTTCCAAAATCTCTCAGTGCTTCGATTTCTTCCAGTGAGATGTTGTCTGGCCCGGGTGCTTTTCCTTTCTTCCTATGATGTATTGCATCCTCAACTTCTGCAGTCATTATTGATGGACCATCATTGTTGGTCTGCAGTTCTACATCTGGTCTATTATCATCATACAATGCCCCTATTTACTCTGTCCATCTGCTAATTATATTACTATGTCCTATAATTAGGTCACCATCATTTGATTTTAAACATCAAGTGCTGTTACGTGTCATCTTTCCTGTTAACATATTTATTTATCACCGGGTTTTATTCCACGTGTTTTTGTCTCTCTCCAAAGAACGGCTAGCCACCTCGTCGAGAGCCTCGCACAAAGCATGAACTTCGTAGCTTCAGTGACTGACCGCTGAACTCTAGTGTGTATTTCAGGGGGTGCGTCTTATTGAATGTGTCTAGAGTCAGGATTGCCCAACTCAATTCTGACGACTCTGTCTGTAGAAAGCAATACCGTTAATATAAGTATATTTGCAAGAACAACAGGGACTTACATTGCCTGCTGCCGTTGTGTTAAAAGGAATGTAGACATCCGGGGAAATCGTTTTCACATACCAGTCGAACGATCGACATTTGAGCTTTTCTCTGAGAGCTTTCATCTCACTGACGTCACCAAAATCAATTTCCTGTGAAATGAACATTATTATGACTCATTATTACGTAATCAAACACACAGAATGTACATTTGCCTCATTAGGAAATTAAAATTACCCCCCCCCCCCCCCACCACCTACCCCCCCCCCCCCCAAAAAAAAAAAAAACAGCTTTCGAATTACTGTTTTTTTCGGGGGGGGGGGGGGGGGAGAGAACACATACCTCTTAAACAAATGCGTTGAGAAAAACGTTGAACACACACTTCATTAGAATGATGCCTAAGCAGCTGCAATCGTTTAGGCTATATCTTATCTATAGAAGCCATCATAATCATCATCATCATGTAGCAGGTCTTTGCAGAAGGTAGCTCTCATCACCGTCAGCCTGAAAGAAAATCGGTCTCTCGCCAGTTCTCCCGCCTCATGTACTTTAATACTGAAGGAGTCACTTATATCCTGTGCCCATCTTCGTGTAGCTCAGCTCCTGCCCCCCGCAAGTCCTAGTACCATGCCTTCTGTTATTATTTTTTTTTTTCAATCCGTCGTGGTGCTTGATATTACCAAAATAGTTCAGCTTCTGAGTCAGGATGCTTTTTATTAGCAAATCTTCATTAATGTTTAGACCTTTCAAGATGTCATTATTTCTCATCTTCTTTGCCAAAGATATTATGATAATCTTTCTATAGCGTTTGAGCTCAAAGGCCCCTGTTCTCTTTCTTAATGACTGGGAGATAGTCCACGATTCACATCCGTATGCTGCTACAGGGAAGATGCATGCCTTTAAAATCCTAATTTTGATCTCCTTGCTGAAGCTTAACCATAGCCTTTATAGGCTATTTAATCTGTGCATTGCTATGGCCATCCCGTTGAAATTGTTGTATTATAGAGCCTAGATATTCAAAGTGTGTGACATTTTCAATTTCTTCATCATTTTTTTTTTTTTTTTTGTGACACCAGTTTTATCTGTTGACATATTTTCCGTTTTCTTTAAATTCAAGATCAGATTTTGATTGTCACTGTGCTTTTGGACAGACAATATTCAATTTTCTATTCCCTTTACTCTGTTCGAAAGAGGGACTGTGTCATCTGCGTAGCGAAGTTCCAGAATCGGGTTGCCACCAACTTTGAGCGGATCAAGACAAAAAAATTACTTCGTTTAAAATATTGCTCTTTATCCATAGAGAATAACAGTAACAGCGTAGCCCATCGAATCCCCACCGATTGGTTATCTACACCAGGATGGATGATTTTGCGAGTTTCTGTAAGCACGTTTTTCTTTATGTATGTATTGTGTATTAATTTTATTTATTATCTTGTTGTTGTTGTTTTTTTTTTAAATATGTCAAATCAGGCTCACAGTCTGTTTCTTTATTCCATTTCATCATGTGCAATAGTTTTGATATTATGGATGGAATTCAGGACAGCACCCTGTAGTTATCCCACCAATGTTTGCTAAAGGGTTACTCCTTGATGTCCATGAATGACAGATCAAACATTTACGTAAAGGAGAACGGAATCCCCCAATGTGGGCTGTTATCACCAACAATATTCTCAATCCTGGCTAATTATCTTAACAAGGTAATGAAAGACGCAAGTTTAAGCCTGACACAGTTTCCTGATGCTTTTTATTTAATTTGACAAATCAGTGAAGACAGCAAGAAACAGCTGAATGGAAAATACATAAAAATTACGAAATCACACACCATCCTTTAGCTTTTCACAGCTGAACAAACTACCATAATGAAAGCCTTTAAGGAAGCAGCATAAAACTCTGCATCCCCCTCCCGCCCCCCCCCCCTCATGGAAACAGACAATAATGACGGATTCTCTTTGATATGTACACGCACTAGGAGACTATCCCAAAGGAAGTAAATCAATCATTAAAGAGAAGATATTAACACTAGCCACAACTTAGGAATACTTAATGCTAGATCACCATACCATGTGTTCTAGTACATAAAGGCATAGCCGGTAATGAAATGGTAGCAATTTTTTGCACAAAAATGTACCAGCAGCCTGTAAGGAAGGGAATTTCCACATGGGTTTCCTAGCGACGTTATTAAGCCAAAGATAGCCTAAATGGGGATTACGTGAGAACATGAAGACTCGCGAAAGCACGGGATATTTGAACAGTGCTCGTATAACAGCACAAAGAACCCAGAACGAGTGTTTGAATGACGAAACAATGGTCTTGTCAGTTAGTGTTTCGCAGCCAAAGCGAAAAGTTGTATTCGAGAGGATAATGTGTTATTTTATAATTGAAACGTAAAGGAAAGTTTGAATCCACGAGATGACAGCTACCCAAAGTTTAATCATGTCGACACCTCACGTGATGGTGAAACGACACCGATTAGTGTAAAACATAGTTCTAGCACTATAGACCCAACAAGCCTAAGTCTTTGAAAAAGTGGTACTTTACTTTATAGACTGTGTGTATACATACATCTACATATGTATGTGTGTGTGAGAAACAAACAAATATACAAAGAAAGAAAGAAAGAAAGAAAGAAAGAAAGAAAGAAAGAAAGAAAGAAAGAAAGAAAGAAAGAAAGAAAGAAAGAAAGAAAGAAAGAAAGAAAGAAAGAAAGAAAGAAAGAAAGAAAGAAAAAAGAAAGAAAGAAAGAAAAGAAAGAAAGAAAGAAAGAAAGAAAGAAAGAAAAAGAAAGAAAGAAAGAAAAGAAAGAAAGAAAGAAAGAAAGAAAGAAAGAAAGAAGAAAGAAAAAGAAAGAAAGAAAGAAAGAAAGAAGAAAGAAAGAAAGAAAGGATAAGAGAAAAAGAAAGAAAGAAAAAGAAAGAAAAGAAAGAAAGAAAGAAAGAAAGAAAGAAAGAAAGAAAAAAAGAAAGAAAGAAAGAAAGAAAGAAAGAAAGAAAGAAAGAAAGAAAGAAAGAAAGAAAGAAAGAAAGAAAGAAAGAAAGAAAGAAAGAAAGAAAGAAAGAAAAGAAAGAAAGAAAGAAATAAAGAAAGAAAGAAAGAAAGAAAGAAAGAAAGAAAGAAAGAAAGAAAGAAAGAAAGAAAGAAAGAAAGAAAGAAAGAAAGAAAGAAAGGAAAAAACAGAAAAAAAGAAAGAAAGAGTAAGAAAGAAAGAAAGAAAGAATGAAACAAAGAAAAAGAGCTTAGGGAAGAAAAAAAATAAACAAATAAAGACAGAATGACGCCAAGACAGTAAGAAAGAAAGAAAGAAAGAAAGAAACAGTAAGAAAGAAAGAAGTAAGGAAATAGAAGAAATATGAAAGTGCTTCACTGGAAGGGAACAAACACAAACTAACCGATAATACCGCCTTTAGTCTGTGTTGATAAAACACTTTGTATTCGTCCATCCAGACTTCAGATACTCGAAGACAGTTTCTTTCCAATATGCGCGGCTTGCCTACCCATTTATATATTATATGATGCTTGAACATATGGGCGATGTGTGAACATGGGATTATTTCCAAGCGACCTCCGCACATCCAGGTCTGCGGTAGAGAAAACGGGAAGATAAGTAGACTATGATATTAGCATTGGTGAAAAGAAAGATTAATGAACAAATTAACTCCAAAACTTTGTACTTATGTATCTATACAAATAAAAATGTTAGTACTCTTTAGCTATTAATAACTTATTTCCGTTAAGTTCTTCGCTGATTGCTTTCACATTCTGATACCGCGTTGCATTCGAATACTCGCTTGGTTTTTTTTAAGAGTGTCGCACAAAGACAGAACTGCATAGTTGCAGTGACCCTCACATAGGCATCTTGGTTTGTTATCCGACGATCCGGAATCTTTTCGTTGCCACATTCCCGAACTTTTACTGTTGACCTTATAAATCTGCATAAAGCCTAAAAAAACTATTTTGTTATGGGGACTAAAAGTTGTTTAGAATTGTGAATTTGTAGGAATAAAACAAGCTGAAAGTAATAGTGGTGAGAATAAAAAGAGAGTTGTGGAACGACTGTATGGGAATAAAAAATATGATTAGTGAAGGACTATAATTACAGCATTCCGGAAAGATCCATAGGTTCTCAGATCTTTTCCCTAATAGCTTAACAGGCGCAAAAACCACTAATGAAGCCTGTTCTATCGTTATTAATCAGACGACTCTTGCCCTTGGTGCTCCAGTCTGCACTCCCATATCTACAGCCCATGACACCATCTTCTTAGCGATATGCATGTCACTGGACATCAATGACATCCCCACTGCCCATGTCAGAGAGTAATAATAACCGACTGCCCACAAGATGAATATGTTTATAGGAGCAGCAGTGGTAGCAGTAACAGGTTGGCTGTGTCGTTGTCCAGGTGGTTACACCGTTGGTGTTTTGTGTCTAATCTAAGTTAATTCGAATAGGCATCTTGGCCAGTAAATTCAAAAAGTGTCAACGATGCCTGAGTCAACATTCAGACGAGAATTAGTAGGGTGAAACCTGATGCACACACGTCTGCGTAAATTGAACTGAGTAACGAGAATAAATATAGTGCTTCTCATGTGCCCCGAATATGCACGAGAACTCATTCGGGGAATATATTTGGATAGGTCTCAATGATCAGAAGTTAAGAGAAGAGTTAAGAGGAGCTTGCCTTGCTTGGCTGAGAAGACTTGTGGAGTTTTTTTTTTTTTTTTTCTTGTTGAGCATGCAGTCATTCTACACGCGGGGACGTGATCGTTCCTCGGTGGTGTCTTGTTATCGATTGTGACTCAAAGAAACGAAGGATGATAGTTTATGGCCAGTTCATTATGTAGAATTCCTAGTGGTTGTTCTGAATTGCGAATGTTTGTATCACGGAGACTTAGGAGTTATCGGAAGTCTCTAGTCAGTTCAAGATGGTTGTGTCTGTGTAATATAACATATTATTCGCGGCAAAGCTTAGGAATAGGATAGGAATAAACTCACAGGGAGCAAGTACAGCAGGGATCTACCAGTCATCAGTAGAAGTTATCCTCGTCGACAAACGTTTCGGCCCACGATCTCCTAGACGTTTTCAGAGGTGGGCCCACCTGAGTTTATGAAGCTCAGCGCTGGTACCCTGCTGCACGAAATTACCGGATGGTGTTATTCTTTCGGATAGGAACAAGACGACTTGGTGGTTTGCAGAAGGTACTGTGAGATAAGAAGTCATCGAGGTAGCCTAATTAGTACAGTCAGCATACCTGGAAGACCGAGCGACAAGCTTACGATTGGTATACCGGACACATGTTTGACATTTGTTAGCAGGTGGCAGAGGATCACTGGCAGACAATTCGGACACGATGGACTTTCAAGGGGTGATAAACCCTTTTCCACTAGAAACCCGGACCAGCTCACCGAGGCCCGTCCCCTATGTTGTTTCGTTGCGTCCAAAGCCAGCTCGAGGCCCTCTCGGCTATTTCACCCAGCCGTTTGAGTGTTCGTTTCCGTTCATTACCGCGCAATCCTAGTTCTTTAACCACATTGTAGAGCGAAGTGGAAACGAGACCTCTCGCTGCCACTTCGACGGCAAAGACCTATACTGTGTACGCCTCGTCTCTCCTCAGACCGGCTGCTAAATCACTGTATTTCTCGAGCTTGTACAGGTGATTTTCATCCATATGCGAATTATACGGGACGGTCAGCTCAATCAGGATGAGCTGCCGTTTCTCCGCCGAGTGGAGAACTATGTCAGGTCGCAGGCCGGTCTTCCGGATTAACTCAAGGTACCTTTCATGGCCTGGCAGATCAACCGCCAGTAACCAGTCCCTCGCAGAGTCTAGCACAGATGGAGCGAATGCGTCTCGGTTGACTTTACCTTTTTAAATCTGCCCAGCCTTGAGGAAACGAATGGAGACGATGGTAGAACTGGCTCTAGTGTTAGCTCTCATTCTAGCCTGGTCAACAATAGCTGCTAACTCTTATAGCACCTTGTTGTGTCGCCAGGTATATCGGCCTTGGCCTAGGGCTTTCCTGTACGCGGACAGGACGTGTTCAAGCGTCTGCTTCGCTTTACACAACGGGCAGGTCGGATCGTTAGTCGCAGACCACTTAACCATGTTAACACCGGACGGTAATACATCGTACGCCGATAAAGCTCATTCGCGGCGGGGTCATTCGCCAGATCTCACCCCATGTGAGTACTCTCGGCAATGCTCTCTCCAGGCTGACCCAATGGCCCTGCTGCGACTGCTGGGCTGCTTTCTGGATCCGAACCTCGTTTTCGTTGTCCCTAACCTTAGCCTGCTTACAATACAGAGCCACGTCGGTCAGACAAGGCGGTGAACCAATCCACTTTCTTAAGGCGGTGTTGATTTTCCTCTCCATCGTCTCCACTGCTGTCATCGTCCCCTCGTAGACTAACAGCGGCCATAAGAGCTTCGGAATCAACATGAATTGGAGATACCATACCTTGAATTTCCCAACCAGCCTGCACCGCTCGATCG